AGTGAGGAATCGGACAGGATTTATTGCTTTATACTTTACCCGGTAAAATGGCTGAAAAGGCTTATTTAGCATACTTAGCACTGCCTGGCTGTATTAGTATTCCACTGCAGCTGTCTTGTATAACATCTGTGATAGAGAACGTCCTTTACCTGATCTAACTCTTTCATAAAGCCATAGAGATACAGAAGGAGACTGAAGTGGATCCAGATACCTGCTGTGGTCTGAGGAGGGATTCCCTTCAGGCTGGCAGACTTTTGTTTTTTACGCATGGGAGAGTAATAAGGATGATTATATAACATCAGGAGGCAACAGGTGAGAGGGTTCTGACTGCAGTCCCCCTCCACTTCATCTGCAGTGGGACAAAGAGGAGGAGGGGGAGAGGGAAGAGACAGGAAAATGAGAGGAGAGAGGAAGGAAAGAGGGAGGACAGAAGAGAGAAGAGGAGGAGGAGAGGGGGGAGTGAGAGGAAGAGGGAAAGGAGAGAGGAGGTGAAAACAGGAAAGGAAGATGGAAGGAGAGGTTAAGAGAAGGAGGATACGGTGATAGAGAGAGAAAGGGAGAAGAGAGAGGGGGAGAGGAGAGAGCAGGAAGAGGGATTGGAGGGATGAGAGATGGGGTAGGAGAGGAGAGGAAAGAAAAGAAAGAGGGAGGAGAGGTTGGAAAAGAAGGAGAGGAGAGAAGGAGCAAAGGAAATTAAAGGAGCTAAAAAGGGGGAGAGAGAAGTAAGAGGAAAAAGAGGGAGAAGAGGAGAGGTGAGAAAGGAGATGAGAGGAGAGGACAGGAAAGAAAGGGGGAAAGAGAGGAGAGGGAGAAATTAGGGCAAGGAGAGGAGTGGGACAGGAAGATGAGAGGAGAGGAAGAGGGAAACAAGTGGAGAAGAAAAAAGAAAGGGGAAGAGGATAAAATTAAAAATAGGGATTACGAGAAATGACCAAAGGAGATAAAAAATAAGAAAAGACAAAGTGGAAATAGGGAAGAACAGAAGAACTTGAACATACAACCATCAGCTCTCTCTCTAACAAACACCAACTAAAAACTCCAAAAACTCACTGTACACCTCAACTACTGACCAACACGGGTGTCAAACTTCAATTAAACGCTGAGGCCGATGACACACGACAGCCAAAACAGGATGTTTGTCGTCAACTGTCGGTTCAACATCACCGACATGTGACAAGGGTGTTTTCATCTGCAGTCAGCAATCACAGCGAGAGATGATCTGTCAGAGGAGCAGGGCTATGTTTAGTGCGTTGGCTCATCTGTGGCAGTAACCACTGTAGTTGTAACTCTGTATTGTCATATGCTCACATGATTGATTAAACTGTACTGGAGGTCAGACATTTGAATCCGTGTCTGTTTACCTTTTAGTATTTTGGCAATCCAGTATCAAGAAGTCAGTCATAGCATATTGTTTGTACACTGGGGAAGAAATATTCTTTATGTTGTTTGACCTTGTTGTCATTGGGTTAACAGTAATAGGCTACTTTAAAGAAATAGTTTGACATTCATTTGCTTTCTGGCAGATAGTTAGATGAGAAGATCAATATCACTCATATCATATCCGTCCATTAGCCTGAATAGACCCTAAAAGCAGGATGTCCTGACACCATGTACCAAAGCTGCGTCCTTACTACATGGCCTGGCCTCAAATCCCTTTGCTACAGAGGCTGGCTGGTTCTACATTTGTTATTTTCTTTAACAGTAAGTATTATGGAAAATATACATTACTGATTGAATAGTAATATGAATATAAAATGTGAATAATGCTAGGTCAAACCCATATTCAGTCTGAATAGATGACTTACAAAGAGATTTGAGGTTAACCATTTAAGATTAAACTACAAAATCACTACACATTGTTATCATTATCAACCTAAAACACCATGTACGTGAACATGTAATCTTTTTGTACTAGCAGCAACTCACACGTGAGCTCATATTTATAAATATGAAATGTGTCAAGTTAAACTGACTAAGGCATAACAATACCACTTCAACCAGAGGATGGCGTGCAATAACAACCCCCTTCCTGGAGACAACAGCCACCTCTGGGACTAGTTAATGTTTTGTCAGATATTTCAGATAGTGAGGGGAACCATTTCCTGCAATTCCACTCAAATAATGGCTGCATACCAATTTGAATGACTCACTGTTGCCATATAAACCAAGCCATCATCATAAAATATTGCGAAATCTTTGTTTCTGGTGGGGAAACATAAAAAAAAAGCCTTTCAGGACAGGTGCCTCGGCTGTAGTAAAGAGGGAGTAAAACCATTAACCAACCATCTTGACTAATCCCTGTGACCTCCCAGCACCCAACAGAACTCAGAGTAAACCTCCAGGAGGAACACATCCCAATGAAGGCAAACACATGTTTCTATTAGGTGTACCTCTGTGCTAGCAGCAACATTTGCTTGTAGTGCCATCTTGTGAGATTTTATGGAAACAGCAGGAGAAAAGGGACCATTTAAAAGCACAGGCGTAAATTAATAACACTATTCAGCATTCATTAGGTGAACTATGCACAAAGTTGTTTTTTAAACAATGGATTTTGGTTTCTATTTAAAAAATGGGCAGATTATATTTTTTGACATGAGTTTATACATCTGAAAATGATGAATTGGAGCAGCTTGAATGTTATTTGAATATCAGACAGTTTTCCACCTGAATTTTAGATACTTAAAAAAACTAAATAAAATCAAGCTTTTGAAATTGCACAACAAATTAATGATTCATTAATCCCATTAATAGGTGGTTAAAAAGTAAAAATGTCCAATCTTATACATTTAATGGTATTTAAATGCAACAATAAGTATTAAGAGGTGATTCCACGTATTACGTACGTATTTTATAGCTTTTATTTTCCAAGTCAAAATGTGTGCTGTGAAAAGGGTCTACTCGTTACAAATTGGGAGAATATTCCTTTATGTCAGCAGTTGTTAACCAGGTGTCATGGAGGCTTAAGAGTTGCAAACTGCAGCATTTGATTATATTTTCTAGTCAGAAGTGTGACTATGAAGTTAAGAACTAATGTAGCTTACCTGGGAACCCTCATATAATGTAGTTTCTGAATCACTGGTAGAATAAACACTGTATAAACATTTGGATAGGAAACACAAAGGATGCCACCACTGCCATGTTCATAAGTTTACATGATTTCATTTAATTTTAAAATTACTACACAAACTTTAAGGAGCCATTTTGTAAATCCTAATTTTTATAGACGGCTTTTTCTGTTCAGGGGACCAGGACCTCTTTACCCACAGAACTTCAAATATATTAATATAATTATTTTAAACCAGTGTTAAAACAATATATTAATATAATTATTTTAAACCAGTGTAAAACAAATATATTAATATAATTATTTTAAACAGTGTTAAAACAGTTGAGTCCTGTAGTCATGAATGAGTTCTTGCTATTGAGAGTAATTTCATGCTACTAGTTGTTATTATATGCATTTCTTAATTTTTATATGTATTCTCATGTTGACTTTTGCCTATTTTAATGGTCCTTTAAAACCAAATAAACCATAATATATGGCATTGATTAACGCTATGTCCTAAGATACAATACACCAAGAACTGCATTTTGTGTGAGTCACTACTGTTATGTGTCAATGCCTCCCTCGGCTGAACATGGACAGATCTACTTCCTACAAAAAAAACTGTAATGTAGTTTTTTTCAGTGTGCGTGTGCGCGCGCCCTGCAGTCTCAGGGATGCTTCACAGCTTCATACCATCCATGCAAAGCGTTTATGTGCTCGCTCTGATTAAAACCATTATTGAACAACAACCCAGACACCTAAATCAGATTCTGTGGGCTGCAATTAAAAAAACTTATCAAACGGTCGCCTGAAAAAGCTGTCATGAGTAAATTCAATAAGAACAAGATGCAAACTCCTGCGAGACATAAACGATAGCGCAACCACCCTCCATAAATTAACTCTGGGCTGTTAATGCCTCTCCTTCAGGGGAACATAAACTCCACACGACATAAACCAGACAAGCCTGTGCTTACTTACTCAACTCAGTTTATTTACAGAGTATTTGAAGAGCCATGTTTGCAAGTGGACTGAAATTACCGACAGAACTCTTCTTTTTTCATTTTTTTTTTTTTACACATGGGGAGCTGATTAATCAGAGTTTGATCTCTCGATATTTTGATCTAGATGCTTCAAAAAAATCCAGTGAGTGACTGTTTTCTTGGTTTAGATTACTGTCAAGTCCCTCAGGGAAACAATAAATTAACCAGGTTTTAAGCCGTGCTTCATCTTTCCAGACTTGAGTAAATGTAGCAGTTAGAAACAGTTGGTTAATAATTCTGGGCGAGGACAGGACACAAACAAATCTAAGCAACACCAAGCCTGCGATACTCTAATAATGAGCAACAAAAAGAAACAAAAAGAAATAAAAAGAGATCAACCAAAAAAAGAAGGCTTAACAAAAATAGTTTTACTACAACATGTTACAGTCCTCCCTCAGATGAGCCATACAGAAGCAATATGATCACAGAGGGACTAAGTTACGGGCCGATGAGCCTTTCGAGTCTGATGTTGTCGCGCTGATCCCATCAACACAGCAGCTTTAAAAAGGAAAGCTTAAGGCTTTTTAGAAGTCTTTTTTTCCATGTGTGCAATTTTTTTGAGCCAATAGAGAATCTGTAATAGCATGGTAAGAACCTTTAATCTTGAATATGTTTTATTTGTAATATCACTTATTTTCTGCTACCACAATAACCCAATCAATTAAATTCACTTGCATATGTATCACAGATCAGTATGATGGAAAGAGCAAAAAGCAGGAAAGACCAACTCAGGAAAAATCATGGTGAAAAAAACAACAACCTTGTAATTGTTGACAAAATGT